GGAAAGAACCGGCCTTGCGCTTTTCTCCTTCCGTCATGCTTTCTCCGGGGAGCTGACATCTAGACCTGCCCTCTGGGACCACAGGGCTCGGGGTGCTGCACTGGCCTGCCAAGGAAGAACTCGGTGGTTTAACCACTGACCAATCCAAATTATTTAAATGCAGAATGACCAAAAATTGCATTTTTTCCATTAAGTTTTACAAGGTAATATAATAGAAAATATAAAAATGATAGTTTTACCAAATTAAATACAAGAATAAACTGACACCTGCCCAAACAAATGACACGTGCCCAGGATGGTACCTAGACAAACACGCTTCCCAGCCAGCACACAGGGTAAACTGTGAAGTGGCTAAGGCTAAGCCAAAGCGCTGATGACACGGTGGGCCTGTTATCGGGAGCTCAGAGTCCTCCTTCCATCTGTTTAGTCTTAACTGCTGAGCATCTCCAAGTCAGATCCTGCAATACACATTTGAGGGGTCTGTGAGCACAAAGAAATAGTGCTAGGGACCTTTCAGTAGAAGTTTTTCTGTGCCGCTCAGAGGCAGGGCTGGCACAGTAAGTGGTGCCAGGGATCTAACTCAGCTCTTGGGCTGCCAGGCCAGCACTTATCCGCTGAGCTCTTTCCGCATCCCCTCAGCAGCTGTTTTTCTTCAGTGGAAGCTCTACCGAGAGAGCTCTACCGAGAGAGCTCTACCGAGAGAGCCCTGTGCTAAGTCATTTAGCTGCTCTCCAGCCACCTTACCTAAGTCCAGGGCTGAAGTGGGCTTGTCACACAGCACACCTGGAGGTGGGGGGTAGCCCAGGCTGTAGGTCTGGAGGCTAGGTTGGCCAAACAGGAAGCCAGATTTTTCTTCAGAAATCTGACCAGACTTCTCATGATATACAGAGTGGCAGCTACAGCATGAATAGAGAGGTTGTAGGTTTCTTGAAACTGACTCTACCTTTAAAAAAAAAAAGGGGGGGGGCCTGAGCCCACCCTGTAGCCTTTCCTGACTGCAACCTCTGTCTACCCCAGGGACAATCAAAGAAGCAAACAAGGCATGATTGTGTTAAATATGCTGCTGGGTAGCTATAGCCACTTTCCCAAACCACCAAAGCAGGAAAACTCCAGGCCATGCTGGTCATCCCAGCCTGGACACTAGATCACTCGAAGAGCAGACAGCCCTAGGAGGAACCCCGGCCAGTCAGAAAAGCAGTTTATTTTATTAGAAGCCGAAAGTGGTTACATGCTTGGCAAAACCCCAGTTTTAGGGGATCCTGGGGCATTGGAAGATAAGACTTTTTTTAAATCCTTGTTTTAAAAAATGTTCCATGCATGTGATTAAAAAGCTGCTCAGGGTAGAAGCAAATAACAAATCACAAAAAGTGTTTTTTTGTTTTTTGGTGGAACTGGGGATTGAACTCAGGCTCTTGCACTTGCCAGGCAAGTGCTTATTCTACTGAGCTATCTCCCCGGCCCCAAAAATGTCTTTTGTTACATAAGTTTTTGTTACTTCATTCCCTAATAAGTGCCTCTTAGTAACCCAGTAGGTAGATGGCCCTCCATGCATATCTGCATGCGGAGGCTAGGCCCTCTGCCAGGCTGGAGAAAGTAGTCAAAAAGCACTGTCAGGGTGAGGATGGAGCGTTGTCTTGCAGCTTAAAACAAGCTGGAGGAGCTGGGTGTGGTGGCACACGCCTGGAATTGCAGCACACAGGAGGCTGAGGCCAGAGGATTGACAGTTTGAGGCCCAGCATGGGATACACAGACCTCGTCTTACAAGCAAGCAGGAGGAGTCTAGAGCACCTTCGTGACCGAGTCACTGCGTTCCAGGTAATGAGATGGCACTGATAAGGCTGCTGTGTTTGGAAGGCTCCGAGTATAAATAAGCTTCCTTACAGAAGAGAAAGAGTCCAAGCACTATGATAGGGACTTTACATATGTTGTCTGGTGGTGTGGCAGATGCCTGTAATCCCAGCCCTTGGGAGGCTGAGGCAGGAGGACTGCCGTGAGTTTGAGAACAGACTAAACTACAAAGTGAGGCCTTGTCTCACAAACAGAAGAGGAAAGAGAGCTGGCCAAAAGTTGCTGCGTGCTCCTGTGGAGAAACAGTCCCAGCAAAATCAGTAGCAGTTTGGGGACCTTTCAGGCTTCCAAACTCAGAAGGTGAGATCCTTGCTCTCATCTAAAGATTTCTACAAGAGGAGATGAAGGAGGAGCCTGCTAGAGGGGGATACATCTCCTCTGGTGTCAGGGATCATTTGAATACTCACCAACACAGAGACCTGGAAGATTCAGAGGCTAGCCCCGACAGCCAGCGTGTGGTGGCATGTAAGAGGGCCAAGACCTCTCCACCCCGACAGCCAGCCCTGTGCTTGACAGGGGACTTGGCTCATGACATGCGTCAAGCTTTGTGCCTTCCATGCTTTTAAGCAGATGAAAGTCCATAAGGAATCCTTGATTCGGGAGAAAGACGACGGGTGCTCAAAGGGGACCTCTGAATTCTGGCTCCTGTGCTTAGAAAACAGCTACAACAGAACAAAGTGAAGCAAATTCTAGGAAGCAAGTGTGCATGTTATTTGTGAGATTTATTGTAGGGTATCTTTAAATACTGAGTTCCCCGATAAATTTTTAAATTGTTTTAAATGACACAATGAGATTCCATCCAGACTTACTACAAACATAGCTCTTGCCTATGCCATATAAATTGATATAAAGTAGAATCTCAGCCTGTGCTGAAATCTTTCCTCTTCTTCTTAGGGATCAAAAAAACAATGTAAGAGAGCTGGCCAAATAGCTCAGCGAATTACAGCACCTACAAGCAGGCACAGGGGTCAGGGGTTCAATCCCCAGGCCTGGGCATCGTGGTGCAGTCCTATAATCTTCTGGGAGGCTGTAAACAGGCGGATCACTACGAGTCCTGTCTAGTAGTGAGACCCTGAACACCCTGTAGACCCTTCCCTTTATTATTTTTTTTTTATTTATTTTGTGTGTGTGTAGCCAGCTCAGCCCACCAGGGGGCGGGGCTGGCTGGCATGTGGTGCTGGGGGATTGAACCATGGTCCCTGTGCTTTGCTTAGCTTGTTCCAAGTAGGTGCTTTAGACCACTGAGCCATCTCACCAGCCCCCGACCCTTCCCTTTAAAATAAAGACAATGTAAGAGCCGTTGTGGCACATACCCATAATCCCAGCACTTAAGAGGCTGAGGTAGGACCACCACAAATTCTAGGTCAGTCTGAGCTAAACAGGGCTGGGAATAGCTCAGGGAAAAAGCGCCTGTCTGGCAAGCACAAGGTCCTGAGTTTGATCCGTAGTACCAAAAAAGAAAAAGTCGATCTGGGGTATAATTCAGTAGCACAGCCCTTGCATAAATGTACAAGACCATGGGTTTACTATCCAGTACTCCAAAAGCAGGAAAAAAATCATCTTAATACAGTACTATACTGCACATTTCTTGCATAGGCCCTGGTGGGGCTCCTGCAGCTCCATCCTCCACGACGTTCTCCACCACAGGGGACGCCCCCACAGGGACCGTTTCAAGTCAGCACTGCGGTAATGCCAGTGTCCAGCCTGGGGACCGCTTCTCTCCACCTGTAGTAGAATTAGCTTCGCTGCTAAGATGTTCCTTTCCCTGCCACAACAAATACAGGTAACAGGCGTATAAACTGCTAAAGACGTTTATTGAATCATCAGCTGCACTAACCGCATCCACCTCCCAGGAGACACCACAGGCAAACAAACTGTGGCGGTTTAAGGACGACTTTCCCACATGTAAACATTTGACTACACGAGTGTGTGCAAGATGAAAGAAGTGACAAGACCCCCGCCCTTGCAGAGTACACCACTGCAACACGGCAACACCATGGAGATGCGAAAGGGCCTGGGAGAGGGCTGGACCACAGCTGCGAGCGAGCGAGCGTAGAGAGCGACACCGCGAGGAAGGAAGGGCCCACAGCAGAAGCTATTCTCAGAAATGTAAGCAACAGGGAGCCAGCCAGCTTCTCTGAGGCAGCCCTGAAGTGTGGAAAGGGTACCTGCTAAAAGAATGGGAGTCAGGTTTCAAAGTTTTATTAAGTTCTTTGTCTTAAAGTGTCAGGCTCCTGAAAGCCCAGAAAACAAGGACAGCATTTGCCAAATTGAAGCAGCACAAGATCGAAGCTCTAATCATATTATTTCTAGACAGAAGCCAAACAGTGACTCAGCTAACATCACACACAGGGCTGCAGCAATGTCCGGACACCACAGGGATTAATCTCATTCTGCCTCAGTCCTAACTTGCTGCAAAGATGAGGCCCTGGGGAGCAGGGGTTCCCCCGCCCCTCTGAGCAGAAGCCGCTGCTGCGCCAAGGCATGGGCTGCACAGCCCTGTGGGGGTGCCAGGGGCTGCAGCGCCTCGGTTACAACCTGCACAGAAGGTACCTGTCCAAAGCAGCGGCCTGAGCAGGCTCAGTGGAGCAGGGCTGGCCAGGAAGGCCTGCGAGCCTGCGGCGGTGCTCTCCACCACAGAGCCATCCAGGATGCAGGGGTTAAGAACAGAAAGGCCAAGACTACAGCTGGGCTGCCCTGGGGCCGGCCCCTGCCCTCTCCCGGGGAGCTGAGCTCTGCACACCAGCATACTTTACACATAATATCACTTGCTCAACCGCCAACAGCGGCCAGCTGCCTCTCAGGCTACACAGACTGTGCTGTGAATTCAGTGTTACACAAAGCAGCAGTCCCGGGCCTGCCAGGCCTGTCCGAGCCCTGCAGTGGTCCTGGCCCTACTCCAGGCACCTTCTGCCCTCAGGAGGAGCCCTTCTCCATCTCCTCCAGCCAAACCTTCCTCAGCGGGAAGGGAGCTGGCACAGGCCAGCATGCAACTCCCTGTTCCTGTTCACTTCTACAGCAGCAAGGAGGGAGGGAAAGGAGAGG